CAGGCGCAGCCACGTTGCGTGTGCCCGTGGAAGGTTGCGTGTGGCTGTGACGTTGAACAGATTCCAGTGGAGTGTCCAGACTAAGAGAGACTAGGAAGGAAGGCCTGATGACCTCTTCCCCAAAGTCAGCCAGAACGGATTCTGGTGGTTGATACCAGGGAGCCTCCAGGAGTAGGTGGGGAAATTCCACTGTTTTTTTCATTGCCCCCTACCCCCCCCCTTTTTTTTTAATCTTCCAGGAGTGTCTGGAAGCCTCCTGGGAGAGTGCTTCCCCAGGCACTTAACCCAATGGAGGCCCAGAGAGATCAAGCCATGGCCTAAGAGGGTCCAGCCATCTCGAGCTGCAGCAGGGCTGCTGCCAGACTCCACATTTGTAACGGCTGTGTGGATTCCCTCCTTTTGACGTGCAGAGAGTGGCGGGGCAGGGAGCCGCATCTGGACAGAGGAGTTTCGCAGCACGACAGCGAGCGTGGGCGTAATTACGCCCCTCTGACAGATGGTGAGACTGAGGCTTAGTGCAGGCTGGGCACCTCGCCTGAGGCCATTGGCAGGCGACCGTGGGAGCTGATGCTGTGCTGACCTCTGCCTTACCATAGCTGGGCATTCCTTTCATTGGATGCCCGACGGCTGAGCACAATGAAGTTGTCAAGGGAAGCCAGTTAGCTGCAAAAGGCTGATGACTTGCTTTTAAGGTATAATTATACGCATGAAAGAGACAGAAGAGGTCTCACGCCTGGCCCCACGAGCCGGGCTTTCTCTGTGTCTGGCATTGTGCTGGGGAGTACTGGAGACCTGGCAGAGGGGTCCTGGAATGGGCACTACACTGACCCACGTGTTTTGCCCATGAGGAGTAGACCTGAGGAATCCCTGGGTGACGGAAATAGTGAGCGCACTTGGCAGCTACCTGAAGGCTGGGGGTTCGAGCCCCCTGGAAGGCACCTCAAAAGAAAGGCCTGGCCATCAATTTCTGAAAACGCAGCCATTGAACTCCCTCTGGAGCCCCGTTCTACTTGGACATGTGGGCTCACACGGACTCAGGCTGCTCTGACAGCAACCATGCACCCGGGCAACCCAGAGACATGTCGGCCGCCCCAGCAAAAAGCACAGGCTTTCTTTGGGGGGGTGGGGGGGCATTAAGGGATGGTCAATAAAATGTTAGCTCTGTGTTTCTATCCCTTGTCCTGGTTGACTGAGCTCCCTGTCTCCCCACACACACCCCCACCTTAATACCAAGCCAACAAAATCACCGTCACTGAATGGACCCTGACTCACAGTGACCCTGCAGGACAGACCAGCACTGCCCCACAGGGTGTCCGAGGCGGTACACCCCTCCAGGCACAGACTGCAGCTTTCCTCGGTGGGGCCGTTCGTTGATGGGTGCAAACCACAGGCCCTCTGGTTAGCAACCCGCCCCCCTCTCCGCTGATCACTGTGCCCCAGGGCTCCTTCATCACCTCCTACCCATCAAACCCACTGCCTTCAGCATACTCCTGACCCCATGCAGGGTTCCTGGGGCCATGTGAGTCTTCACAGGAGCACACAGCCATGCCTTTCCCCCAGGGAGCAGCTGGTGGGTCTGAACCACCCGCCTTGTGGCTAGCAGCCCAACACCTAACCCACTGTGCTCACAAGGGTGTTGACCGTAATCGTTGATGTGGCCCAGAGGATGAAGCCCTGGGCTTGAACGGCCTCTGCCCTGCGGCCCCTCTGTGATTGTCCTCTGCAGCAACCACTCCTTGGTCACGACAACATGATGACCAGTCCCAGCTCGGGCTCCAAATTAGCCGAGTTCCTGTGGACAACCCATTTGGGGGTCTGTGTCCTCAACCCCCAGGGCGCTCCCTCTCCCCAAAGGGTTCTCCAGCTCCCAGGAATTATGGAGGCACAAGAGCCTCCATTGAATGGCTTCCCAGATTCTGGGCAGAGTGGAACACAGACATTGGGTCACTCGGCAGCCACCCTGCTGCTGTGGCCACGCATCGCAAACCATAGCTATCAAGTCCCTACCGACTCACAGTAACCCCCATCCAGGCCAGAGGAGAGCTGCCCCTGGGGTTCCCAAGGCTGTGATATTTCCCCCCCTTTTCCTCAAGGCTGTGATTTTTATGGGAGCAGGCAGCCACACCCTTCTCCAGGGGGGTCAAGCCACTAACCTTTCTTTCAGGGGCTCCGGGTTGTCTGTCCTGCTGTTGCTAGATGCCATGGCGTTGTTACTCGGCCCGTGCAACACAGAACCAAACACTGCCCGGTCCTGCACCATCCTCACCATCAGGGCTAATGTGTGACCCCATGGCCGCAGCCACTGTGACCCTCCATCACCTTGAGGGTCTTCTTTGCGGCTGACCCTCTACTTCACCAGGGAGAAAGGCAGGCTCTCTCTCTACTCCCATAGAGCTGCAGGCTCAGAAGCTCACAGGGGGCAGTGCTACCCTGTCAATGGCAGCAAGTTTGGCTTTGGGGGTTTGGGTCCCTCCTGATAACATGACCAAAGTATGTAAGGCCTTGTCTCACCATCCTGGCTTCTAAAAGCACTCCAGGTATCTTCTGCCAGGGCAGATTTGTTTGTTCTCCTGGCTGATTAAAACGGGCACAAGGAAGGTCTTACGGAAGTCTGCAGAGGACAACACCAACCACCCCCGTGGACGACGTCCCCAGCCAGGATCCCACCAGTGGTGTTCTCCAAAGCTCCCTTGCAGCGGAGTGTGACATTTGCCACTGTAGGGGTGAGGAATTGATCCCCAGAAGGGTGTTCCTGCAGGCCAGGCCTGCTCTGAGGATCCAAGGCTCAGCGCTGGGAGGTGACCAGCGTGCCCAGGTCACGCCAGCATCGTGCCCTGCATCTCTGCCTCCCAGGTGCCGCGGAAAACGGCTACGTCCTGCACGGACCAGCTCCGGGTGGGCCGCCTGAGGGGGTCTGGAGGACAAACAGGGCGTCAGGCAGAGGAGAGGCGGCGGAAGCCGCCAGGGAACCCGGGCTCTCTGACTAGCAACCCTACCGGGGCAGGTGCGAGGGAGGGTCCGGGCGGCACAGCCAATCAGCACTCGGGAGGCGTGGCCGGCCCGGCGGCGGAGGCGGCGCTTGCGCAGTGGGTGCCTTCCCCGGGGGCCGGGGCGGCCGGCGTGCCGGGCGCTGACGCTCTCGCTACGCGCCCGACGTCGGGCACGTTGACGCCGCTGACGCGCA